TCAGGACCCCCACCCCCCACCCCACCTCCCCGCTCCTGGGGACCTCATGGCATTCTCTCCTGCTACGTGTCTTTGAGAAGATCTTCCTCAAGCCCAGAGAGGATCTGTCATGGCTTTGCTTCCAGAACAGAAAACAGCACATCCAGCTGCTCAGTGACTTTGAGACAAAGATTGGAGGACTTTCTCCAATCCATATCCAATCTTCACGTCAACCCCATGAGGAAACCGAGGCACAGCGAGTAGCAGTGATGGTGGCATTACACTGGGACGCCTGATTACTGAGACAGTTCTCCTAACTGCTAGGTTTCTGTGAGGGGCCATGCAGTTCAACAACGGCTTCCCAAGAGAAGTCCTATCAAGTGCTGGGTGAGGACGAGTAATGAATACGCCCAGGCCTACCCTCCAAGTCTAGTGAGGGAGAAACACAGAAATTCAGTGACAGGTGCTTGAAGGAGTTTGGACAGGGTGGGGCTGGCTGGGGAAGATCCCGTCTTGGAGATGGTGTTTAAAGCAGTCCTTGAGGAGGTAAGATGTCAGCAGCCTGAGATGGGGTCCGAACGGACCGGTGCCAGCAAAGACTTGGAGGCAGGAAAGCGTTGAATCCTCACAAGCTTAGGTTCTCAGACTGAAACAGCCCTCAGAGGTCGCCCGGTGCAGCCCCCATGGCAAGGTGCTCCCTGCTTCCCGAGCAGCTGGAGAGACGTCATCTGGGAGCCCCTCCCTCGATGGGCCACAGGTTCCAGAACTGCTCATAGACGTTCTGGCATTCCTCCAACATGCAGGCCAGTGTCCCCTGGACAAGCGCCTTTGTCCTGTGCTGGCACTTGGGAGCGCCCAGATGTGCCATCAGCAAGGCGTGTTGGGACCAAGGTATGCTTGCCACTCAGGAGAAGGATCTGGAAGGTGTGTCCTTGTTTGTGACTACAGCACTACCCCGTCCAGGGGTGCTGTACTCTACAAAATGGTTTTAATCAAGGTGGTGGCCTTTAAATTAATAAATCAGCAAAATACATTATATTTATTCACATGCTAAATGCTTCTTTTTGCTTTTTTACAAAAGGAACACAAATTTTTTTAGTAGAGTTTCCCTAATTTATTTTCCTAAATATTAGAACTTTAGTAAATAAATGGGCAAGGGGCCCGAACAATCCTTTCACAGCCAAAGAAACCAAGAAACTTTTAACCAACCTTAACCATAATCAAGTACATGCAAAATTTTTAAAAGTTAGAAACGTCTTTGGCCCTTTTATTAGAAAGTATGGATAAAATGCTCATGTCCTCTACGGTCTGATTGGTGGTGGAATGGCTACACTCTGAGTTCTGGCTGGCTCCCAAATACTGTACCGCCACCACCTTTCTGGAAACAGTTCAGTGTGTCTCAAGACTTCTGTGTCTTCACTCTTTCACCTCGTACGTAAATCCGTTCCTGAGAATCAGTCCCTCGAAAAACCCCACAAAGATCCATCGGCACAAAGATACTCATTATAGGGTTGTCTATAATATCATTAATTGAAAGAAAAGCAGTCTGAATGATTAACGAGGGAATGGTCGTGATTTAGGGCAAAGAATCAAATGGAGCGCTGCACCGCCCTCAAAGGTGACCATTGGGAAGACTCTTTGGCATCTTGGTAATTCTTTACAGTTCAATAGTCCGAAAAAATACATCGAAACTTAACGTGTCTTCTGTGCTTGTCACCTCTTTCTACGTGTGAGCGATGACGAGTGGGAACCAGCTCCCTCACTCAGCCTTCCTCTCCGTGAAATGCAGCTCCAGTCTCCCAGGTGCCCAGGTCAGAAGACCTGAGGGTCAGCTCTGTTTTTTGAGGTTGAGCTACAGGCAGACACTCCCCGCCTTCCCAGGTCTAAGCCAGAGTCCTCTCTGGGCAGAACCAGGGCAATAGCACGCACGCTGGTCTCCCTGCCTCCCCCCTGCCCCTCACCGTCCATGTCCTGCCTTAGGGGTCCTGTTAAAGCAGGAGACAAATACACCGTCCTCTGCTCAGAACAGCCAGCGACACCTGTCCCTTGGAGTAAAAGCCAGCGCTCTGACCATGGTGCCTCAGGCCCTAAGTAGTCTGCTCTTGCTTCCCGCCCCCCATGGCCCAGATGGGGGGTTTTCCCCCCGACAGGCAACTCTCTGCAGCACCAGCTGGGTGTCCTACCGCTTAACTCGATTCTGACGCCATCTTTCCGGAGCCGTCACATCCCGAGGACCAAGGGCTCAGTCCTGTAAGACTGTCCCCATGACAGCACTGGGTGCAGGTAGTCCCTCCTGCGTCTGACAGTCAGCTGCCAACACGACCTGCCCACATTCCCCTCCTTGGGTCCGGTTCATTTGCCAGAGTGGCCCCCCGAGCTCAGGGAAACTCTTTTCATCCGTGTATTAAGGGGTGCGCCAAAGGGCGCAGGTGAACAGCCAGGTGCAGAGATACAGAGGGCGGGGTCTGGGAGGGTCCTGGGCACAGGAGCTTCCGTCCCTGTGGACTTGGGGTGTGTCACCACCCCCCCCCCCGCCCCGGCGCATGGGCGTGTTCACCAACCCAGAAGCTCCCCAAACCTCACGTGTGTGTGACTCTTACGGAGGTTTCATCATGTAGGCATGATCAATGACTAACTCTGCTTCCAGCCTCTCTCTTCTCAAGAGGATGGGCAGGGGGTGGAAATTCGAAACTTCTGATCATGGCTGGACTTTTCTTTTGACCAGACCCCTCCAGGAGCCCTCCCGGGGTCACCTCATTAGAACAAAGGACGCTCCTATCCCTCACGAAGTTGCAAAGGTTTCGGGGGCCCTGTGTCAGGAAAGCGGGGGCTGGGAAACTACAGGCCACGGGTGAGCTCTGGCCCACGGCCTCCTCTAAGCTAAGGAGTTACGGAATTGCTTTCACACTTACACTTTTAAAAGTGTATAAAATCAACAAGTTCATAAAAATCGGTAACACTTTGTGAGACTTCAGTTATATAAATTGGAGTCGCAGTGTCGCTAAGTAATGTCTTGCTGGAACACCGCCAAGCCCATGTGTTTGGTGGCCGCATCCACAGTAGAGGGGAGTAGATGTACCAGAGGCCGTGGCTGTGGGGCCAGCAAAGCCTGAACTCTTTCCCATCCGGCCCAAACAGAAAAGGCTCACTGAACCATACAGTAATGATGCTCAGACATTTTGGTCTCAAGACTATTCTTTTTTTTTTTTTTTCCAACATTTATTTATTTTTTGGGACAGAGAGAGACAGAGCATGAACGGGTGAGGGGCAGAGAGAGAGGGAGACACAGAATCAGAAACAGGCTCCAGGCTCTGAGCCATCAGCCCAGAGCCCGACGCGGGGCTCGAACTCACGGACCGTGAGATCGTGACCTGGCTGAAGTCGGACGCTTAACCGACTGCGCCACCCAGGCGCCCCTCAAGACTATTCTTAAAATTTGAGGACCCAAACTTTGGTAATACAGATTATTAAATATTTATCGTATTAGAAGTTAAAGCTGCACATGACCCCCAATAGCTATTTTAAAAATATGTTTTAAACAATTATAACAATAAACCCGCTATGTGCTAGCTTAGTGCACATATTTCTATGGAAAATAATATTTTTAAAGACGTAAACATTTAGTGAGAAGAGTGGCGTTGTTTCACATGTTTGCAAATGTCTTTAAAGCCTGGCTTAATTTAGCGGAAGGCAGCTGGATTCTCGTGTCTGCTGCTTCGTTCAGCCTGCCGCAGCACCGTGCATGAAACTTCTGGAGAATTCCGCTGTGCACTTGTGAGAAGATGAGAGTGAAAACAGCGAACGATGTTTTACATTGTGGAAATAATAATGCTGACCTCACAGACCTTCTGTAAAGATCCCGGGGACCGTGCTTGGAGGGCAGCTCCCTGGAGGCGGGCAGACTTTCCCCAGAAGCCCACACTCCAGAGGCTCGTCCTCCGATGCCTCCGCGGTGTGAAGCCATCCCAGCAGTGGAGGATCTGCTCATTAGCAAAACGGATGGGCAAAGCGCCTGGCCTGGCTCAGACAGCGGTGCCCCAAGTGTGTTAGGTGCCGCCCACGGGCCTCTCCTCTCCCACGGACAGAGCACGAGACTCCATGGGCTCTGGTCTTAAAGGACCACGTGGCCTCGGGGTCAGGCTGCTGAGTGAGGGCGCGGTGACCTGATCCCGAGTCGAAGGTTGTGTGGATCCTGATCCTTGAATACCGTTGCTTCTGCTTTGGACTGAGTCGGCACCTGTTATGACACCTAAAAGGACAGGTATGGAGTCCACTGTGCTCACCGAGCAGGTTACGTAGCCGCTGAGGACCTCCTTGCTAATAGGTGACGGTCCATGGCGCAGAATTCAGCCTGAGACTCCTTGCGTCGCCTCAGCCACCCCGCTCCAACAGCAAAGCTCCGCTCATCTGCCGCTCGCCACCGGAGCTGACTCAGATCCACGGCAAAACTGAGTCCGGTGGTGAGTGCCCTGCCCTGGTCATTTCCTGACAGACACACCACCGTGATCCCAGAGCGATGGGGATACAGTGCTACAGGTGGGGGCTCTGGCTGGAGCAGGCTGTGCCGAGGGGTGGGTACGGGTAGGGAAGGAGGGGGTCACGGATGTCCCCGAGGATTTTAAAGGCACCTGAAAGGACGGTTGGCAGGAAGTCACCATCAGGTCGGTCCTGTTCTCAAGCACCTGGGAGCCTCCCACATCCAGAATGTGTTCTGGCAGAGGGTCCGGAACAGGCCCACAGGGGCCATTCGGGGAGAAGGTGGGCTCACCTCATTTGCCCTGCACTAAAGGGCTTGGTCTCTTGATCCTCCAGCAGGAAAACCTTCTCCACGTCAGAACACTTGGGGAGTTACTTGATTCAACGTGTGAACAGGCCCAGGAAATGCAGGCTTTTAAAGAATGTTGAGGGGCGCCTGGGTGGCGCAGTCGGTTAAGCGTCCGACTTCAGCCAGGTCACGATCTCGCGGTCCGTGAGTTCGAGCCCCGCGTCGGGCTCTGGGCTGATGGCTCAGAGCCTGGAGCCTGTTTCCGATTCTGTGTCTCCCTCTCTCTCTGCCCCTCCCCCGTTCATGCTCTGTCTCTCTCTGTCCCAAAAATAAATAAACGTGGAAAAAAAAAAAATTTAAAGAATGTTGATTCGCTATTTACCAAGACCATCGTGTCCTAGACCCTGGGGATAGAGCCAGATAAGATGTGCTGCAGCCGTCCCGAACGCTAGTGTTGGAGAGGAAACAACACCTGCCCCCTCCAAAAGACACAGCCCCAGGCTGTGTATGCATCCGTCCCAAAGTAGCAAGATCTATGTGCGAAATGCTGGAGATACGGGGAAATGAGGAGACAAACTGTCCAGTGCTAGGACTGAGTTAGGTTAAATAGGCGGTTGCAGGGGTGTGCGTATGAGATTGAGGTGGACCCAGTAACCGCTCCCAGAATATAAATTGCAGCTTGGGAGAGGCCAAGATGACCAGTGCTCTGTGCACAGAGATAGGACTTCCGGGAGGAATGAGGTTTGAATGGCCACTAAGATAGAGAAGCCGAGATAGTGGTAGCACGTTCCAGGAGGGGCCCTGAGGCGGGACAGCAAAGGCCGGGTCTGCGGGAGGCGTCTTCACCGTAGAAGACATCCCGCCCAGGCCTCGGCCCAGGACAGCGTCTCCGTCCCCATCATAGAGGTCCCCTCAGTCTCCAAGTCGTAGAAGACTACTTGCAGACCAAGGACATTTCATCACAAAGAATGGAGGAAGGACAGGGAAGAGGGATAGAGATTCGTGTTTCGTTGTGTAAGTTCACTCCTTGGGTTTTGATCCGTCGTGTTTTCCGTCCAACTTTTAAACTTTATGGAAGGAGTCAGAAATGGAAAAAGCCAACGTTTAATGAGTGCTTGCAAAGTGCCGGGCGCCCCCATGGGACCCTCAGCTCCCTCTCGGCATACCTTCTCGGGGCGTGTCATTTATAAGACGGCGGCTGACTAGGAGTCGAGCTCCCGGAAGCAGTGGTAACCCCGTGTTCCCATCATCGTGTAATCAAGACTTAAATCCACCTGTTACCAACTGAGCAGCTCTTCTCTGAGACTATTGCTTCATCTGTGAAATGGGCAATAAGGCCAACTCTACAGACTTAAGAGGCGTGGATAAAATGTTTTGTGTTGCCCCTTCCTTGCTGGGTGGCTCCAGGCAGGTCACTCTGCCTCTCTGAGCCCAGGCTTTCTCAACTGTAACATGGGACTGTAACTTGCCCTCCTCACGGCACTGCTGTAATAGTTTAGGACAGAGGGCCTCCTCCACTATTGCCACTGCAATAGTGATCACGGAGGTTTTAAGGGAACTTTCACGGGGTTGTGAAGACAGAATCACAGAACTGAAAACCTAGTCTTCTTCACAGAGGTTCTGGCTTCTCTGCATGGAGCGCATGTCACACAAATACGCAAGCGTGTTAGACAATGTACCCGGGCAGGATCTGAACACTGAATTCCGGCCTGCTCATGGGCAGCGTGGCGTCGAAGATGACGAGAAGGAAACGTGTAACAGCGACTGTGTGGTCTAAGGGGGCTCCCGTCTCCCCAGCTCTCTCACACGGGAGAAAAGGGAGGTGCAGAGAGACTCTTACAAAGGTGTCTCTGCTCTAAAATTCCACAGTCTCTGAATTACTGGTCACATAGCCTGCCTTCTTTCCCACGGCTGAGACCCCATCGCACGTCTTCTGGATTGCTTCCTGCCCTTCTGATCGCCTCTCGTGACTCTTTGGATTTGAACAGGGTGGTTTGTCTGTTTAGCTGATAGCTGCTGTTCTCACCTGAAGGTGGCAAAATGTTAGGTAAACCCCAAAGAGGAACCTCAGGTAAAAGGAACATGTAGAAACACCTGGGAAATCTGCCAAACTTGGAGCCTCTAACCTCCAGCGATGATTCTCAAAGTGTGGTCGGGGCCAGCAGCACCAGCAACACCTGGGATCTTGTTAGACCCCCACATTCTGGGCCTTCCAGACATACTAAATCAGAAACTCTGGGGGTGGAGCCTCCCACGTGCTTAAAGAAAGGAACCATCTATTTTTAAAGCATAACATGCTGAGTTCATGGAAGTCCAGGTGTGGAACAGCAGGCTGAGTCAGCACCTGAGTCCAGCCCAGTCCCGCTGCTTCCCAGCTGTAGGACCTGGAGTGTTACTGATCCTCTCTCAGCCTGTTTCCCCACCTATAAAATGCAGATAATGCCAGTAGGATCAACGGTCCTGGGGTTGGAAATAACACATGTATGGGTGGGATTCCTGGAAGGACTTAGCAGTGGCTCTGTTTGCTGTGGTCTTTGGCATTTGCTTAGAAGTCCCAGGTGAGGCGCCTGGGTGGCTCAGTCGGTGTAGGAACCCTCTTGATTTCGGCTCAGGCCATGATCCCAAGATTGTGGGATGGAGCCCAGTGACCATCTGCACTGAGCCTGGAGTCAGCTTGGGATTCTCTCTCCCTCTGTCCCCCTCTCCTGCTCGCGCACACGCTCTCTCTCTAAAACAAATAAAGATTTTAAAAGTTCCTGCCCTTTGTCACACTTCACTGGACACGGTAAGTCCCGTAAATCCTCCTCGGTCTCGTGTGCAGCCAAAGATGCAAAGAAAGGCTAGTGAATCCTGTCCCGCTAAGGAACCCAGAGGGCCCGAGATGCACACACCCCTCCCCCCCGCGCAGCGGCCAGAGGTCCGCTCACCTGCAAAGAAAGGCCAACTCACTGACCCATCCTTTGCAGCGGAGGGCCGGCCCGCCGAGCCAGGAGTCCTGGCCCCGCCCAGCCGGGGGTCCTGGCCCCGCCCAGCTGGAGGTCCCGGCTGCGCCCTGCCCCAATCCTGGCCCCGCCCAGCCGGAAGTGAGGCGGGGAGAGGCCGGGCAGCACCTCCCGCGGAGGGAAGGGGCCGCCCCCTGACGGGGTGGGCGCACCGCACCGCGGGGCGGGGTCGCCCGGCCTCTCCCCGCCCGGCTCCGGTCGCTCTCCCGCCTCCGGGTGGCCGCGGGCTCGGGCTCGGCGCCCGGACGACGGCGCGGCGACCGCCATGGGCAACAAGCAGACCATCTTCACGGAGGAGCAGCTGGACAACTACCAGGTGAGCCGGCGCCCGCCCTCCCCTGCTTTTGGCCGCGAGCCGAGGCCCCCAAAGCCAGTTACGGGGTTCGGACTCTGCCCCTGCCTTCAGGTAGGAGCGTGACCTTGGGATGTGACTTGCAGCCTCAGTTTCCCCACCCTTGCGTTGAGAGCGCTTTCCTCGCGGTAGCCGTTCCTTTTCATCCCCGTTTAGCCTCCTTACTCTTGGCCCCTCGCTGGCCTCGAACCCCTCCCCAGACACCTGTCCCAGCGCCCACCTTGGCACGGAGTTGGAGGGTCATGAAACGTGGGCTGCAGGGAGGGTCCCCGATCCCAGGAATCAGCCCAGGAGAATGAGTCTCAGCAGAGCAGAAATGACCTGGGGGCCTGTCTGGGTGGGGAGTGAGGTGTATCGGCCCCCAAGTCAGATTTAAGTTGGGGGTGTCCTGTTTACCCGTTTGGGGTCTCTACCTCTGGCCCCAGCATGGAAATAATTGGAGCAAGAAGGCAGGCCATGTGCCCGTTCCCACGCCCCCCTGCAAGGTCCCTCAGCCCCCAGCAGCCACCTGCTAAGACCCTCCTAGCACCTGCTGCCTCCAGAGCCAGGAAACTGCCCAGATCCGAGGCCCCGAAGCCCTTCTGCCATGGGGAGGCTTGTGTGGTTGCAGGATGAAGCCCAGCCCCCTGACTTGCTGGGGCCCTGGCCAGCCTCCGGGGCTCCTTCCCTGCCCTGTGTGCGCCAGCCACCCCTGGGCTGTCGCTGGCCTCCTTCCTCCCTCCCTTTGCCCATGCTCTGGGACGCCCCTTCAGATTTCCCTCATCCTTCAAGGCCCAACTGGGACGCCTCTGCCCGACTCCCCTGGGCAGAGGGGGCCTGCTTGGAGTGTGCTGTGGGAGAGAGGCACATCGGCAGTGTCTCCTGTGGCTGCCTGTTGCCTTCGTGAATATTTCTTTTGGTAATGGGCCTGAAGTGTGAGTCCTCTGAGGCCCCTTCTCCTCGGAAACGCTGGCCGTCAATAATGGTTATCAGCTCCATGTGAGGCCCTGAGAAGGACCAGGAAGCCACATTCATGGAGCAATGCTGTGTGCCAGGCATTGGAACAGATACCCTCTAGGATCCTCACGATGGGGTGGATTATCAGCCCCATTTCACAGAAGAGTAGACAAAGGCCGAGGAGCCACTCAGTGCCTGGCACAGTCCAGGCTCAAACTGGAATTTGAATCCTTTAATCCAAGGCTCACTGCTTTTGTTTGGGGGCAGGGCCCGTGTGTGCTCTTTGTCCCGGAGAGGTCAACCTTGGCCTCGTGAGAGTACGATGTGCTCCAGGGAAGGAGGGTACTAGTGGTCCGTGGAAGACCCGGAGGGAAGGGTAACTTTTGCTCTGCAAGATTCAGAGAGAATGCAGTGCTTGAGCAGGGCCTTTGAAAGGTAGGCCCCCGCAGGCCCAGAAGGAGGCGTCTGGGTGGAGGGCAGCACGTGGGTGAAGGCTGGGGGGTGGCACAGGCGAGCAGGCGGACCCTGCCCAGAAGTGAAGCATAGCCCCATGGGGGGTGGGGAGCCTGAGTTTCCGCTCACACCAGCCTAGCGTTGGGTTACACTTGGGAGCCAGTCCCAGTGCTGGGTTGTGATCCTCCACCAGAGCCAGGCAGGGTGGGAGGAACGAGAGCTGACGAAACCTGAGAGCCCCAGTCTCCCGCCCTCTGCGCTCCATCCAGCCCCACGCCTGCCAGGCTCCCAGTTACGGCCCCCTTTCCCCAGTCCTCAGGTGCCAGTGATTCCCAAGTTCAGGTTTCTTTCCAGACTTCTCTGCCCTCCAGATCAATCTCCCAGACCCCTCAAACTGCAGAGCAAGGCTCCCAGCCTCCCCCAGAACCCACCACTGCTCCTCTGGCCATTCAAGTCTCACAGGCAACCCACATTTTCAGTTAAGAGCAAGCCCTGTAACTCACCTGGGGACCCTCTCCTCTGTCTCCACCCAAGGATCCAAGGCAAGACAAGACACTTAGAATCTGAGTACGAAACCTTATTCTCTGCCAACACTGCCAGAATCCTGAGAAGCCTTTACGGTACTTGCCACGCTCACCCCCCAGGAGCTGCCTCCCTGGGGTGAGGTCCAGGCAAGGTCAACAGAAGAAAAAGCAAAACGTTAGTGGGTGAGCAGGTTCGTGGCAGTTTGGTGGTAATGTTGAAAACCTACAAACAGCTGCTGCCACGTGTTCAGGACGAGGAGAAAGTTCGGTTAAGCAGAGCCAATGCCTTTTGTGAGACATCCTGCAGCCAGTGAAGCGTGTGGAGGGCTTACATGGGAAGACCTGTTCCTCGTCCCGGAGCCCTGTGTCGAGCACCCATGGCGCTGGATGTGGAGTACGCGGCCGGGGCAGGACATGAAGCGGTCAGTGAACGTGGTCACGGCTGGGCTCTACAGTCTGTGGACTGCGGTCAAGAAGCAAAAGCCCCAGGTTGCAGTCAGCCCTCTGGGCTGCGTGTGCAACTTAGAGCAAGCTATTCAACTTCACCGAACCTCGGTTTTCCCATCTGTAGAGTGGGGAGATAATGCCTGCCTGCCTTCCCCCCCCCCCCCCCCCCCCCCCCCCCCCCTCCATAGGCTAGGGACGAGGGTTGAACAAAACTGGATAACCAGAGCCCCCACGGACCAGGCCTGCGGTGATCACGGACCGGGTGGGATGTGGTTCTCAGCCTGGGCTGCACGTTGCAGTCATGGAATGTCTCTGCAAACTGATGCCGGGCTCCACCCCAGGTGATTCTGCTCCAGAGCTGAGGCCCTCGTTTTAGCAACAGCATCACTGCGGGTGGAGCATCTTGGAAAGATTCGGATTCCTGGGCCCCACCCCCAGAATTTCTGGTGCAGCAGGTCTGGAGTGGAGCCTGAGAACCTACACTTGCACTAAGTCCCCAGGTGATACTGGTGCGGCCAGTCCTGGAACCACACCTTGAGGACGGTTGATGTAGACAGGTGTGAGTGGTTGTGATAAGGGACCAGGGTCCTTTCGCTCGTAGGGCCTTTGGGTCAGGACCCAGATATTTCCTTTTCAACCCAGGGCATGGGAGAAAGGAGAGCAGAGGGGAAGAGGGGAGGCCAGGGCCTCTCCCTGTCCCTGGTTATGCCGACACCCCCACCAGGCAGGTGGGGAGGGGCCGAGGAGGGTCTGTGCCTGAAGACTCAGCTAGGCTGCCTTTGGGGCCTGCTCCAGGGTCTTCAGGAAATCCGTCCCCGCGCCCCCGCCTGAGTCGGAGACAGGGACTCCGAGCTTGGTGAGGGTGGGGGCAGAGGAGCTATTGCCTAGGGCAAAGCCTAGCCCGCTAGGACAAGTCCCTGGGGTCCGAGAAGGGCAGGGCGGCCTGCGGGCCTTTGGCCTAACTCCTGGGCGGCAGACTGGGTTGCAGGGGACCCGGAAGTTCCCACCGGCTCCCCCTTTCCAGCCCTCCCGCGGGCGCCTCCTCTCTGGGCTTCCTGAGTGTGCGGCACAGCTGCTCCGGTGCCCAGGGACTCCGGGTTTCACGCGGGGCAGGCCTGGCTGGCTGCAAGCCTGGGCCGCGGCTGTGAGCCCCTGGTCAGCACATCCCCAGGGGCAACGGCGGCGAGGGCAGGGGGGCCAGGGCCAGGATAAGCACAGAAGCCCTTCATCCCTGGGGTGTTTTTGCCTCCATACGTCGCACCGTGGCCAGGCACCACAGCCACCGCCACCAGGCAGGCCGGCCCGTGGACAGAGGCAGGTCACACGGACAAGGCAGGACACCGGAGACCAGTTTATAACTGGGCGACCTTAAGACACGAGCACTGCCCCCACCCTGAGGGTCCTAGCCGCTGCCCCCTGCCTCCTCCTCCCCTCGCTTCTGCTCACCTGGCCTCCACCGCTTCCCCGTGTGACCCTCTCTACTCCTGTGGCTTCAGATGCCACGTAGATGCCGGTGTTTCCCCAGCCCGTGTGCCCGGGACCTTCCATCTCTGTGCCTGGGACACACGGCACACGACGCGGGGCACCGATCTCGCGCTGCAGTGTGGATGGCGCCCCCTGCAGCTGAGACCCTGCCGGCCTTACCTCCTCACTGGTCTCCCAGCCCCTTTCCCCGCCGTCCCACAGAGCAGACCACAAGTCAGTGCCATCCACCTCCGGCTCGTCCCCCCGCCTGTGCGTGCACGCCCCCAAGGCTGCCCCCACAGACCCCCACACCATGCCGCAGTTCCCTGGGCCAGGTCACAGCTTCAGGAGGTGGCTTCCGGGCCACCAGGCTGCTCTCTGCCCAGGCCGAGGCGGTTCCTGAGAGGTCCCGAGGGAAAGCGGGGCGTGGGCCCTGCAGCGGACTGTGTGTGTGTTTTCCCTTCACAGGACTGCACCTTCTTCAATAAGAAGGACATCCTCAAGTAAGTGTGGCCTGCGGTTCGCCCGCTGGAGCTGGGCCGGGCACCTCGCGTGGGCTGGCTGCACGGGCTGGGACCGAGGGGGGCGTCTGCCTGTCGGGAGCCAAGCGCAGGCTGCTGTGAACTGGAGAACTTCCCACCCCGCCCGGCGCCCAGACACTTCTGCCAGGAATCAAGGGTCTCCGTCTTGCGTGCCCGGCTCTTTGGGGGGCCGTTTCAGGCACGTTTTCATTTTATCCTCCCTGCGACCTTGTAACAGGAAAACCTTTGGTCCCTACTTGGCTGTGGGGCCTGAAGACCTGGCCTCTGACTCCAGGCCCCTTGCTGTTTATTTGACCGTGTCCGGAGGTCTGTCAGACTCGGGGTCCCTGAAATGCCCTCTGGCTCCAGCCCTGATGTCCCTCTGCCCTGGGAGGCCCAGAAGTCAAGGGCCTGGCCTGCATGCCCCCAGCGTGCCTGAGCTGCCTGCCAGGGGCTCTTCCCTTTCCGGGACAACTCCTTTCTTTGGGATGGAGGAGGCGGGCTCTGAGGGAAGAGATGAAGGGGGTTGGCAGCCTTGGAGCCCCAGGCCCAGGCAGTGAGCACGACCCACAGGATGCCAGGCCCGGCCCCTCACGGGCCCTGTGCCTGAGCTACCAGGTGGCGTTAAAAGCCAGCGAGGTCACAGGACCGCTTTCCCCGGAGGCCGATGGGTGGGCTGGGGCTAGAGCCTGTAGCGGCTTCCCAGGCGAGCTGTGCTTTGTCACCGTCCTGACCACTCCGCTCACACGGGCAGCTCCCTCCGCCTTTCCCCTCTGCCCCAGACACTCTTCAGCCTGCCCCCGGGTGGACGGACAGGGGTCCCCGCAGGGCCGAGAGGCGGGAGCACCAGGGCGCGGCGTTTGCACGGTGGGATTTGGTCTGTGACTTGAGTGAGGTGTGGGGTGGGGTCCCCGTCTGGACGGGGTGGCCCTCAGAGCCGTAACGACAGCCGTTGCCGGTGGCGTCCTGGGCGCGGACCCTCACCGGAGCCTCACCACGCTCATGCTCTGTGCAGGGCCCCCGCCTCTGGAGAGGCCGCACTGCGGCTGCTCGTCCTCCGCGGCCCGTGCCCACTCCTGCCCTGGCAGCGAAAGCTGGTCTCCGCCGCCCGGCGGCCCCTTCTTCACCTCTGGTACCCACCTCGTTCCCGTGCCCCCTTCCAGACCCACCTCCGTGGTCGTCCGTGCCACCCCAGCTCATGCGTCCTGCTCGTGTGCCCTGTGTCACTGCTCGTACAGTGTCCCGGACGCTCCAGGGGCTCCTGGCTCACGCGCTTGGCTCCCCCTGAAGTCACCGTCAGCCGGGCCCCAGCCTCCCTGCCCCGTAATTGGGCACAGCGCCTGGGAGCCCCCAGTGAGCGCCTGAAGACCACGCGGGTGAAGAAGGCCACGAGAGAACATTCCAGGCTAGGAGCAGCAGGGCCAAGGACACAGGCCTGCTTCACCCCATGCCGACCTCCAGCGGTCTCGCCGAGAGCAGCAAGGTTGCCCGTGGTACGGGCACGTGGCACGAAGGCCAGGCATTAGACTAAACGTGGCAGGTCTTTGGGGTGTCCCTTGCCCCCTGGCAAGTGACGAGCCCCAGGCAGATGGGGGGATGCCCCACGGTCCTGGCCTGCCCGACTCTGGACCCTTCAGCACCCCAGCCTCTGTAGCTCGACCCAGAGCCCAGGCCGGGGCTGGGGTCCAGACACGGGTAGGATCCCTTCTGGCAGCGGGATGCCCCTTCCTGCTTGTCCCGTCCCTGGTTCATTCAGGCTCTGCCACTGTGTTAACACTCACTGGGGACCCAAGGGACCAGACCCGGTGCTTTCTCTGCAAAGTGGTCACGTCAGGAGGAGGGGGCGGGGGATGGAGCGCCTGCTGTGGGTCATTCCCTGTCTCTGCACTGTCCCCCCGCCCCCAGCAGGCCCCTGTGTTCAGCACAACACGGGGCCGCTTGGGGTTTTATGGCCCAGCCGTGCACCCTCAGCAGGGGTGGTGAGAGCAGGCAGCACGTGGGATTGCGGCCCCTGGAGGAACCACGATAGCTCCGTTCCATTTTGGCCCCTTCTCTTTTCTCCAACCTTCTCTCTGGGCCCCAGCGAGGGCCAGTGAAACCTACCAGGGACTGACCACCCCTGCCGGGTGAGCCCTCCTCCGCCGTTCACACGTCAGGTCCAGGCAGGGCAACCGAGGCCCGGAGCCCGGCCCGGCAGCGGGCAGCAGGCCGTCGGCAGAGCCGGGCCCCGGCCCGCCTGGTGAGCTGCCCCCAGCCCTGGCCCGGTGGGTGGTGCGGAGGAGGAAACCCGAGCACAGGTTCTCCTTGCAGCGGCCCCGGGTCACAGATAACCATCGGCATCGGCGGTCCCCCCCGCCCCCCCGCCACCACCAGGTGGATACGGTTGCTCGCGTGTACCTTTTCCACTCTCATGCGGAGCCCTCTTCCTAGCAGGTCCCAGGTGGCGCTCTGACTGCCCTCTGCCCCCCGTGGGCCTGCGCTCCTCGGTGAGGGGACCCGAGTCCTTGCCCGCCGCTGCAGACAGGCCCTCCGGCTAGCACCGCAGAGTGTTTCCCTGTGTCAGTGTTTCGTACCTTGGTTTCCCAACGTGCTGAAAACTCTGTGGGCTCTGTTTTAATTAAGCTTTTTATTTCATACGTGATACGTGATGACCATAGAGAAATTCGAAAACAGAGGCGCCTGGGGGGCTCAGTCGGGTGAGCATCTGACTCTTGGTTTTGTCTCAGGTCATGATCTCACGGTTCATGAGTTCGAGCCCCGTGTCGGGCTCTGTGCTGACGGTGCGGATCCTGCTTGGGATTCTCTCTCTCCATCTCTCTGCCCCTCCCTGCTCACTCTCTCTCTCTCTCTCTCTCTCTCTCTCTCTCAAAGTAGGTAAATAAACATTAAAAGAAAATCAGAAATAAAGCCAGTCGAGAGAAGACGAAAATTACCTGTAACCCCATCACTTGGCGGTGATGAGCATTGATGTTTTGCTGTGTATCGTGTCAGTGTTTTTCCTCTGTGTGTGTTTATCAAAAATGTGTCTCATGTTGTTTTATAATATGCTTAAAATTGCTTTTCCTTAAGCAAACTATAAAAATAGGTTTAAAAACATGATCTTGGGGCGCCTGGGTGGCGCAGTCGGTTAAGCGTCCGACTTCAGCCAGGTCACGATCTCGCGGTCCGTGAGTTCGAGCCCCGCGTCAGGCTCTGGGCTGATGGCTCGGAGCCTGGAGCCTGTTTCCGATTCTGTGTCTCCCTCTCTCTCTGCCCCTCCCCCATTCATGCTCTGTCTCTCTCTGTCCCAAAAATAAATAAATGTTGAAAAAAAAAATTAAAAAAAAAAAAAAAAAACATGATCTTGCCACATCCTTAATTCATTTGGCTGGACGTGTAGGTTTTCAGCACTTGACCATTGTAATTAGTCTTGTGACAGCACGGCTGTGCCCCACACCCCTGCGGTAAATTTCTTTTTTCTTCTTTTTGTTTTAAACTTTTTTTTAACGTTTATTTATTTTTGAGAGAAAGAGAGACAGAG